ATATAAGCTAATCATCCGAGTCTAGAAAAAAAAGGGTTTGTGGCAGAGAAATGTGGTGAAATAATAGCACGAGGGGTTGCTAAAGAGGTATTAATTAATTATATTATGTAATCATTTTTAATTAAAAGCAGCATCAGCTAGATATAAACATTGGATTTTCCATTGTGCTTGAGAGGAGACAATATTTTAAAATAATATCTCTTTAGATCTAATGTGAAAAGAAAAATTCAAAATGTTCAATGGTATATACAAATTAATATTTTTCTACGTGACTGCTATACATGTATTAATAATATGAATGACATTTCAGAAAATTATATGGGATTTAGACTTTTATGATGAGATTAGGTTAATTATTCTTCGTTTAAGAATATGAACGTATTAATAATATGAATGACATTTCAGAAAATTACATGGGATTTATACTTTTATGATGAGATTAGGTTAATTATTCTTCGTTTAAGAATATGAGCTTATAACAGATTTTGCATGCCTAACGATCATATAAAGAGGGGAGGTCATAATTCCCTTTTTTTTAGCAGTGTTTATATAAATCAAACTACGATCTATAATTGAGTTTTATAAATAAAAAAAAAATCTTGCCCTATTTTTTAAAAGATTACAGAACACAAGACGCTCTCATTAAATAAATTACAAAAATTATTTTTCTTATTCTTTGCAGCTTATATAATTTATTTTTTTATTTTCTTACCTTTTCATTCTGTCATTCTGCCAGATTGTGATGTTTTTCCCGCTTGAATATGCCCCACGTCTATTTGTTTTTATCCTCGCACATATTAATCAAAATGTTACGTTGTTTTTAGGTCTTTTGAAGAGGTAACTTTTATTTATCGTCAACATTTTTTCAGGTTTGATTTGTGCCTCTCTCTTATTTGCTTTATGCATTTCTATTGCCTCGCATGCTTAATCATAGTTATGGTATTTCAATGTTTAACAACACATAATGTTTTGTTTTTAGTTGCTTGATCTTTTATTCTTATATATTTATCCTTTCTTTTTACATGTTAGTTTTGTGGGGTTATATTTTTTATTCCTTACCTAGTTAAACCAAAGAGTAGTTTTTTAGCTAAGCTTACCCATTATCATGTCTCATGATATATTAAAGATTTCAATCCAATGTCGTTCCTTTTCCATGCAAGTCAGTTAATCTTTGCCCAACACTTAATTTCATGATGTTTTTTTTATTGCTTATTATCTCTATATTTACATGGTTTCTGTAGAAAGTGCATGTCATTAAGATTTTCTCTATCCCTGTGTTTTCCTTCACTTAACCATGATCCTGTCCTAATCATGGCTTTTTTAGTGTGTTTTTTTCTATTTGCCTTGATGTTTGTTTACATGGTTTATTTAGAGCAACATAAAAAAAATTTCAAATTTAATTGCATTTTAACTATCATATATTTAAATTTTACTTCTTTTTTTCGGTGCATACCAACCTTTTTCAGGGTAGTTTTTTGCTTCGTCTGCTGTTTATTTTTTTGCTTTGGATCAATAGCTTTGCTGCCTGCTTTTATTGTTTCATGTAAATACTTTTTGCTTCACAATCCTTAATCTCTATAGTGCAAATTCGATGGATTTTGTCAATATCCCTAACTGTAAAAAATAATCCATGTTTTTTTTGGATTTCCAAATCACAAATCTTATTTTCTTTTTTCCTGAACCAAAAACATCTCTTATGACAAGAAATATTCCGACATTTATATTCAGTGAACCCTTACTTTTAAGAAAATAATTCCATGTATCAAATAACAAATGGTGAACTGTGAGTTGTAGGTCAACCATAAGAATTAACTGTCATATAAAAAATTTATTTACCACGATTTGTTTATTTGTAGCATTGCTACCTTTAAACCTAGAAAACCACCTGATAAAATCATATGAAGCAAAGATCTAATAATAGGAGGGTGGCCTCATTGGTGATGCTTATCTTTTAGTTTACCTTAATATTTAGCTCTCTTTCTCTGATTAGTCTGATTAGTCTGCAAATGAACCATTATTGATAGTAAATATTCATTGTTTCATTATAAAATTTCATGTCATCACTCTTCTCTAATGTCAATACAGGTTTCTGATAAAAGAATACATAAATGAAAAATTAGTTTTATAATTTTAAGGTCCATTCTCTTGCCTTTCCGAGCAAATAAGAGAATTTATTATTGATTTATAAAAAAATTATAGCTTACAGTTGCATTTATCTTTTGCTGTAAGAAAAAAAACTAGCATTCAGTTAATCAATACTTTCTTATCCAACATCACAAGCTAATTGGACATCTTTATTATCTACTTTGTTAATACAACCTCTCGCTCATTGACATATAGGTATAAAGCATAAAATATATAACTCTAGATACTTTCACTATATTTGGATTTAACTATCTTTACTTAACTTTTGCATTTAGCTTAATGAATATCATGTATTTTGTTATATAATATTTTTAATTAGTTTATAAATAATTATAATAATAATTAAAATTAAATTCCACTTAAAACACTCGTAACATCGTGCGAGTATCAAAGCTAGTAAAATATTATTTATTGTAATAGGGTTTTTTTTCAATTTATATATTTTTTTTCAATTTCAATTTTATTTTTTAATTTTAGGTTTATTAGGAATTAAATTTTATAATTTTTTTTCAATTTAACTTCTATAATATTATTTTAGTTTTATGACTTGGATTATTATTTTGATGAGTTAACTTAATTAGCTCGTGATTTTTTTTATTTGATTTTTTTTTAGTTTCATCATTCAATATTGAGTGATTAAGAATTAGATTTTATAATTTATATTGATTTGCTTCTTATAAGATTATATTTATCTTATGAATCAGATCACAGGTTTGGCGGGTTAATCTGTATTAATCCAAATTATTTTTTATATCTTTTTTAATCATTTTTTTTTTCAATTTCACATTTCTATTAAGTTATTTTAGTCTCATGATTCAAGTCGTGAATAAGGTAGGTTAACTCAAGTTAATTTAAAATTTTTAATCCTTTTTTTATTGATTTTTATTAATTTTATCATTTAATATTGAATTTATCAAAAATTAAGTTTTGATTTGCTTACTATTAGGTTATCATGCTCTCATGACTCAATATGTGAAATGATATGGTAATATATGATTTGACTTGAACTGATTCAATATGTTATTGTTTCAATATTTATATAAAAAAAATCTCATTTTAAATATTTATTTTGAGTTAAATTATATTTTTACCGGTCATCTAATTTGTTTTTAAATCTACCAAAACTATTAAAAATATTAAATCAATTTCCACACAGTTTAAATATTTTTTTATAAAAAACTTAATATTTTTTTCACGTTGAAAAAAAAAAATCCTATTTATAATGTGGTGCCGATGAATTATCTAATAATCACTTAATTATGCTTGCTTATGTGTAAAGGTTTTACACTGTATATAGATACTGTCAAGAGTGGGTATGTTGATTAATAAAGTTTGGGTAGTCTCTTAATTTTCTATATTTAAACTTTAAAACCAACATCTAAGAAATTTTTTATTTTTTAAAATACATCAAATTAAATTAAAAATATATATTAAAAACACTCCTTAATGTTAAACAAAGAGAATGTAAAGGGTGCAGCCACTTGAGAAAGTAAATTATGTTTTTCACAAAATTATTTTTAGAATTTATTACAAACATTTTAGTTAAGTTTTTGATCAAATATTTTAGGATGGTAAATTATGTGAAATCCCCGAACACATTGCTTCATTGTTAATAACATTTTGGTTCGGGCTTGCAAGTCATCATGTTTCAATGAAGAACTTGAAATGATCCCCAAAATAATACTGGAAAAATCGTTAAAAATCCAACCCACAAACAAAAAAGATACTGAAAATGTTCAGATTTGGATGTGTAAATTGCTTTTTGACCAATAGTTTAACAATGATTGCTCCTGCTATGATTTGTGATTTGGTGTGATTTTGGCAAACTCTGGTGCATCATCCTCTACAGGGATGATTTCATAAGCAGATACCTGAATCATGAAGACCCTCCATATATATTCGGGTCAAAATTAAGGAACAAGCAACACAATAAAGTATATACTTAGATTTAGATTTGTGGACATGCCGTGTACATTTATTTTATTGGTAAAAAAAAAAGAAGCCAGGTGACCTCGGCATATTTTGAAGAACATATAATGACAATCAATAGATCAATTTCAATAATAATAAAAAAAAAAAATCATAGCAACTTGTAAAAAAAAAAGATCAAAAAAACAAGATTAAGATTTTAAATAATCAAATGAAAAAAAAAATACTCGTCTTGAGCTAACCTAAATAAGCATACCAAATATACAAGTAAAATTATGAAAGTAAAATTATAAAATCAGGATAAACCAATATATATATATATATATATATATATATATAAAAAGAAGTAATGAGATCGAAATAAATGAATAAAAAAGAAATTAAAGAAAATCACGAAACTCAATATAAAAAACTCTAACATCATGTTATTATTTATTTTTGGGATCTACGTGCTGGAGATTGTGTGGACTTCTCTTAAATCAAGTATAATAAATTAACTCATGTTTTCTAGAAAATTGACAAAAATATAGAAAAAAGAAATGTTCTTCAAACTTTGTTTGAACTGTTTTCTACCCTTTTTATCCTCATTTTTTTTGTTAAAATCATTAAATTTCTTAAATTGATTAAGAGTCTTCATAATACTAAATTCATTTATTCTTTATCTAATATTTAAGATTGGATAAATCCCTCTAAATTTACAATAAAATGAATAAAAAAGAAATGGAAGAAAATCAAGAAATCTAATATAAAAAAATAAACTCTATCATTGAAGGATTGAGTTGGAAAAAAAATCATAACTAACCTAATATTTAAAGGATGAAATGGAGAAAACAAATAGAAATTTAAAAAATATATCAAAGTAAATTCAACAAAGAATAAGAATAAAAAGAATCTAGATTATCCATGTCAATTTCAAAATTAGTGATAAAATTTTTAATAAAGCCAAAACTTAAATTAGATAAACGTTGAAGTTTGAAACCGAAAAAACTTGAATTATGCTTAAAAAAACAAAACTCGAGTGAATCTCCTTAACTTGAGTTAATCTCTAAAACTCAACCCATGAAATCATAGATCTAAATTAAATTAAAATATTTAATTTAATATTGAAGAATGAAATTAAAAAAAGTTACCTGAATGAAAAAAATAAAAATCAAATTTTATAAAAAGAAATTAAGGATGAAATAATAAAAAAACAATTTAAAAATTTTTCTCAAGCGCAAAAAAAATGAGGACCAATTAAAAAGATGAAAAGATTTCATGGGGTTGAAATTGAAATTTCTTTTTATAATTATTAATTATTTTAAATAAAATAAATAATAATTAAAAAAATAAAAATCAAATTAAAAAAAATCATGCTAGACAATCTTTGACCATAGACGCTGCTTCATCATCATGTGGTATTAGGAAAGTTATATATATAAGGTTTGTTTTGTTGGTTTGTGACTTTTATGCTGCCACACGCATTGCTTTATCATGGAGAGGATTGCGAGACTACTTAATGTTGTCATTGACCTCTCCAAGGTTGTTAAAATTACTATTTAATTTGTAAAATCATATAATTTTATAAATTAATATATAGAATTATCTAAAAAATTTAAAAATTAATAAAATTAAATTGAAATTAAGTAAAATCAATAATAATTAAATAAAATCATAAAAAATCACGAATTTAATAACGATTTTACAATTTTAATAAAAACATATACTGCATTTTAATAATACAATATATGTTTTTCCCAATCAATAACAACATGCCATTTGTCCACCCAAAAGATGTGCTGCAATAGTGCACTTCCTTATCAGGCTCGATTCCCAATATATACTCTTTTGCCCCTTCATTGGTAGTTGGTAGGTATATGCCACGCGCATTTCATGCCACTCGCATTTCACGCCACGCGCATTTCATGCCACGCTGGATAGCCACCATGAGCAGATAATTTGGTGCCTCAAGTAACATGGGAAGGTGTGGCAGCAGCCATATTAGTAAAAATAAAATAAACATAATATAAATACAAATATAATCTTAATTAGATAAATTATTTAATCCTCATTATTATTAAGTTCATTCTATTTTACTATTTTTTTTATTAATATAAAATTTATCATCCATAATTAAAATAAATTACTATCAAAATAATTAAAAAACATAATTAGACTTGATTTACTAGGTTGGAAATGACTTGATTAATTTAGTTAAATTTTATTAAAGTAACTTTAGATTTTTTTAAAAATAAAATAATATTATTTTAGTAAAAATAAATAACTTATTGACATGTAAATTTAACTTAGTATTATATCTATGAAAACAATAACATAATAATAATTAAAAAAATACAATTACGAGAATAAACTAAAAAAAGTTTTTTTAGCTAATTCCAGATCACAAGATCTACCATTACCAAACTATAGCTACGTGCCTCACCACACACAAATAGCGCGTGGATGGCAAGACATTGTGAAACCATCAGCAATGTACCTTGAAAGTCAAACTAATAGAAGGAAAGGCAAGGGAAACACTTCGCACGGATGTGCCAGCTGCAGAGAACTTGATGTACCAGTTGCAGAGAGGAGCAATTACCAGAAGGAGGCTCTATAACCAGAAGCTCTGGTTATTTATAGAGGGAGGCTCTATAAATAACCAGAAGCTCAAACACCGTTCTTCGTGCCAAGCTCTCCTCTCTCCGTCTCTCTCTCTCTCTCTCTCTCTCTGTTATCTTTACAAAGGAAGGAAGGAAGGAACAAGTCTCATCAGTCATCACCTTTCCTGTTCTATCTCGGTAAGGTAAGGCGGTTCCTTTTATTTCTCCTCTTCCTTCATTTCCCATGCAATTATAAATAACAACAGTAAGCACCTGACAGCCCCCTATTGCTTTCCTTTCCCCCCTACGAGCCAGTTAGGTTCTCGGGTTTCTTTTAGATTAATGTTGTGTTGGTTTGGGTTGAGGATTCCATGTGTGCACTCTTTGATCCTCAATTATATAGAGAAGCTTATTTAGCTAATTCCTTCTATTTATTTTTTTTTTAAAAAATAAAATAATATTATTTTAATAAAAATAAATGACTTATTGACATGTGAATTTAACTTAGTATTATATCTATGACAAGAACAACATAATAATAATAAAAAAAATACAATTACGAGAATAAACTAATTAAAGAGTTTTTTTTTTTTTTTAGCTAATTCCGTAATGGGATCACAGGATCTACCATTACCAAACTATACCTACGTGCCTCACCACACACAAATAGCGCGTGGATGGCAAGACATTTTGAAAAAAAAAAAAAAAACCAGTGCCGTAAATCAAACTAACAGAAGAAAAGGAAAGAGAAGCCGTTCCCACAGATTTGCAGTTGCAGAGAACTTTGGGTGCCAGTTGCAGAGAGTAGCAGTTCCCTCCCTCTATAAATAACCGCAGGCTCTTACACCGTTCTTCGTGCCAAGCTCTCCTCTCTCTGTCTCTCTCTCTGTTATCTTTACAAAGGAAGGAAGGAACAAGTCTCATCAGTCATCACCTTTCCTGTTCTATCTATCTCCGTAAGGTAAGGCGGTTCCTTTTATTTCTCCTCTTCCTTCATTTCCTGTGTGCCCTCTTTGATCCTCAATTATATATAGAAGCTTATTTAGCTAATTCCTTCTATTTCTCTTGAATCAACATTTATGTGTAATACGTTATACACTCAGTAAATAAGTATATATATGTGCAGAACTCTCACCAGAGTGCAGTGGTTTTTCTTAACACTGGCAGTTTGCAGCATGCCAACACTCGGGACGACCTCTCGATTTCCACTCTTAATGCTCCTGGCAACACTCTTCCATCTCTCATATGGCGATGTTGGCACCTGTGCCCACTACAGACCACCATATTTACGTAAGTGCCCAGTACTGCTACATCTTCAAACATATGACTTCCATAACTGAAATTCGAAAGCTTCTCCGTCCTAATCCCTAAACATTTTTTTTATGGGGTGATTGTGATGCAGCCACTGCCTGTTATGGGAACTCACCATCACATTTCCCATCAAGCAAGATGTTTGCCGCGGCCGGCGAGAGAATATGGGACAATGGCGCCGCCTGTGGAAGACAGTACCAGGTGAGATGCATCAGTGCAGCTGTCCCGGGAACTTGTCTTCCAGACCAAATCATTCAGGTTAGGATTGTTGATCGAGCACAAACATCAAGGTCAAGGCCTTCATCGAATGGGGCTACCATAGTCCTCTCCTCTACTGCTTTTGGCACCATTGCAGATCCTTCGGCAAGATTGGTTAACGTAGAATTCCTACAGTAAGTCATGCTTGTCTTGTCTTTCTCTCAATCTTAGATTTTTCCATTTCGAAAGGAACATAACTAAACGTACGTGGGGCATGTTTTGGTGTGCAGGGTTTGAAGAAGAAGAAGAAGAAGAAGAACAGTTGTTTCTAGATAAAGTGCAAGGGTTAGTTGAGATTAAGTCAACGTGATGAGTTACATGGGTTAGCAAGCTAGCTATTCGTATTAATTGTGTGTTTGTGTTTATCAATTACTTGTTCATTGAATCGAATAAGAAGCATTTTATTAATAAATTACATTTCTTTTTTCTTGAGGACACTTCTTCGTTTCCAGAAGTTTCCAGAATTGAAGGGTATGAAGGAAACTTTTTAATTGACAAATTTTCAATGCTGTTAAAATTACGAGTTGAGTATCCAGTTAAAAACTCCAAACTCAGCAAACTCAATCAAACTCGGTTCAACTCGAACCGAGTTTACGAGTTTGATGAAAGTTATAAAATTTATTGACTCACTTTCCCGACTTTGCTTTTTGCCCACTCTCCATCCTCCCCTTTCCCCTTTGCCTTTTGCCCAAATCTCACATTCTCAAGTCTCAACCTTAGCACTGCTAGCATCAGCAACGCTAAGTTGGGTCTGGGATTTTGTTGGGGATGTAGACAGGGCGGGTGAGAGAGGAAGAGAGGAGCGCCAGCAACGCTAATTGGGGTTTGAGATTTTGTTGGGGATGTAGACGGGGTAGGTGAGAGAGGGGGAGGGAGAGGAAGAGGGGAATTTGAGAGACAGAGGATTTCATGGTGATGGGAATGAAAGCCATGGGAGGAGGAGGAAAGTAAAGAAATGCAAGAGAGGAGAAGAAGGACGGTGGCCGGTGCGGTTTCTGAAAGGAGGCCGGTGCAGTCAAAGTGGTAAGAAGGAAAATGTGTGCTACACGATTGAGTAAATATTTTTGTGTGGTCCATAATTAAGGTGAATATTTTATTCATAGTTTAATTAAATTGCTTTAAATTTAATTTATTCTTATATAGTTTAATATTTTAAAAATAAATTAACATGCTTTTGACACTTACAAAGCTCAAGCAGCAAATTGGATTACAATTTATTATCTTTTATGTTTATTATTCTTATAATTTCAATACCAAGAAAGGATTTTATTGATGTTCCTGAAAGATCGCATGTAAAGAGCTTGTACATCGATAAAAAACAAAATATTTAGAATTCGGCAAATGAATGACCCTTAAAATAGCAAATGAATGAACCTTAAAATAATTATTAAAAATAATTTCATATTTTTAATCAATTAATTATTTGAATTATATATTTAAAGGTATTTAAATACTTATATTATTTATTTTAATTATGTTATATTTTGTAATTGTTAATATATAATTAATTAAAATATTTTATTTGTGATTTTATTTCTAGAAGCTCATCCAAGTCATTTCTAGAAGTCCAGTCACTTTTGCAGCATAGGGAAAGAGTCTATTTCTAGAAGCTCATCCAAGTCATTTGTTGGTCAAATGAGCAGAAACTCAACAGCACTCAAGGCTTTGTCATTAACAGAAAACAAATGCTGATTGAAATTTTTAATATATAATTAGTTAAAATATTTTATTTTTTATTTTATTATTTTACAATGCAAGTTTTAATCTGTGGTTATATTATATATTTTGTATCGTGTTAAAAAGATGATTTTAATATCTTTTTTTACTCCATTTCAAGTATATTTAAAAAGAAAAAAGAAAAGAAAAAAGAGATCAGGCAGTGAAATAACAAGTGATGCAGGAAAGAGGGATCAAATTAATAAAGCTTAGATCCATTGTTAAAATAATAAGGAAAGATTTGAAATTAAAAAGAAAGAATTTTAAAACAAAAAGATTTGAAATTGAATTGCTGAGGACATGGCATTTTACACCAAGTCCAGCAGAAATACTGCTGCATCCATGTCCTGCTCCAAATGGGATATTTATGGCACCAGGCAACCCATAAACAACAAACACCAGGTGTTCCAAGCTACACAGCAGAGTTCCATTCTTTTAACTTTTTCAACAAAATTGACTTATTAAAGAAGATGAAATGGCTGTTAGCAATGAAGAATTCTAGCAGTAGTCTTCTCTAGAAGTGGGTTTCAATCAGCATAAGTGAGTCCCATTGATTAAAGGGGCACCAGATCTTTCTTTTACTCTCACAGCTTGACTATCAGAGACACCACCACAATAGGATTTACTCTTCCAGGATAGGTGCAAGACACTCTTAATAATGAGCATAGCTTCAGTGATTGCTTTAGTTCTAACGGTTAAAAAAAAAAAGGTTTCTTTTAATATACTCCTCGTGAGCATGGCACCAGTTAGCATGAGTGGCAAGAAGTTGGAAAATGAGCAACTTTCCTTAACATGGAGGTTTGGGAAGAAACTTCCACCTGTATGGATTAGAAAAATGAGTATGGGATAGACCATGACACTTCAGGTACAAAATTATGTCAAAAGGGAGAGAAGCTGGTGAGATTGGGACTCGTTTCAAGGCAGATTCCCACTTTCGAATGAGTTTTTTTTCTCTTAAGCATATCAAAGTCCATGCCAAAATTATATGCTTGCCAGAGATGGCACTCACTGATCTCTCTAGCGGTTTGAAAGCTTGGAGCATATCGAAACAGCTTCAAGGCTCCATAGAGGTTTAACTGATGGCGATGAGAATGCAAAGCGAGAATCTAGAAAGGGCAGGCCATTGTATATCAATGTCAAAATGAATAATGGTTCAGCTTAATGTGATTCTGTAAATTGGGAAAACTTGTTATAATGTAAAGTGACCAACAAAAATGTGAAAGATTTCTAAAATTTCTGACTATCAATCTGTTCAAGTAAAAAAAAAACAACACTAATAATAAAATTTCACTAATTTCGTTAGGGATAATATGAGGGTTTCTGCATTCCTAATAGTATCTCATTTCTCCTTCCCTCTCAAACTTCTTTTTCGTGGTGGATATATGTAAGCAAACAATCACAAGCTATATACAAAGCCTCCTCATTAACACTGTTCCTTCTGGCATTCTTTCTCTTCTGCAACAGATTCCGTCCGTCGACACAAGTGATATTCTTCAACACTCTTGCTCAAAAGGCCCTTTGTTTCATGTTCTTTAGGTCAAACAGAGGATCGTAGTAATTATCTAGTATATCCTAATTGTTGTTAAGTACTCATTGTACTCAAAAGTCATCCTTGTTCGTGTGGATAGACCTGCCAAGCATACCATATCATACTCCATCATAAGCATGAATCATTAAGATACTAAGAGAAAGTACACCAAATTATTTAAAGGGGATAAGTATTTCTTGCCTGATGTAATCTTTCTTTGAAGCTTAGGGTTCTGAGTTTCAATTCGCCTCTGTTGGTTGTCATCTCATCCAGTATCTCAGCATCATAGAAATCATCTTCACTCTTTTCAGAATCCACATCAGGTGGTTCTCTTTCCTGCACCAAGTTATCATATGCATTAATATGAATAGGAAGCTAAGCTAGAACACGAAGCAAAATTATCACCAGCTGGAGTTTGAATTATATGCATATAGATTATAATCCGGTCGATGTTTAACCAAATGAAAATTAGGCTATAGGGAAA